CAAAAGTAGCCTCCTTTTCCGCAGGTAATCTAGTGCACCGCCATGATCATGCCTCGCTCGAATGCGTCCTGGTTGATTGCGTAACCTTCCTTGCGTTCCCGCTGTCTGATGCAATCATCGGCTATAGTACTGCTCTCTCCATTCAAAATTACAGTTCGTTTGCCTTTTTTTTTAACCCAAGTTTGACTGTTGTTCTTATTCAAAAAAATTTGTGCGAACATAATCAAATTTAAATCATTCTTGAAGAATTTTTGTTAATAAAGCAAAAAACAATAAAAGAAATGATATTTAGCATAAATTTTTAATAAGACGAGTGATCAAACTTGAAGTTAAAAAAGTCAAACGAACTATAATTTAATTTGGAATGGATTTAGTATGTACTCCCTCCGGTTCTCTAAAATAAGTCGTTTTGAGATTGTCTTAAGTCAAACATTTCAAACTTTGACTACAAATAACTTCTTTTGGATTGAGTTTGAAAATATAAAAGTGGCGTGAGTAGATTCATCTCGAAATGTAGTTTCATAAAAGTATATATTGACTATATTTTATAAATATTTTATAACAAAAAGTTACAGTCAAAGTCGTTTCTTAAAGACCGTGTCGATATCTAAAACGATTTGCTTTAGAGAACAGGAGGAGTACACCGTAGCAAGCAATCCACACCACGCCAAGGGATTTCTGCAGTTATCCTTCCTCGCAGTTCGCAGATTCGCTATCAATATCTAGCTAAAGGCATCCGAGTGGGAATTCACACGGATATCACATTTGTTGTTTGCTGATGATTGCCTAATTTTTACTCAGGCTTCAGGTAGGGGAGCTGAAAGATTAAATGCTATCCTTGAGGCCTATAACAAGGGATCAAGTCAGATGGTAAATCGAGATAAATCAGCTATATTCTTTAGTTCAAATTACAAAGAGGAAGACAAGAAAGAAGTATTTGAATGCTTGAAAATTACAAAGGAAGCACTTGAAGAAAGATATCTTGGTCTACCTATAGCCCTAGGACGTTCAACAACAGAAGCATTTGAGAGTATATGCTCCAGAATACGAAATCTGGTTAGTAGCTGGTGTGAAAAGAAGTTAAATGCTGCTAGTAGAGAAATTCTTATCGAGGTTGTAGCACAATCAATACCTACTTATTCGATGAGTTGTTTTGAACTATCAAAGACTACTTGCAAGAAAATTACTTCAGCTATATCTCGGTTTTAGTGGAGTGGAGACGAGGAAAAAAGGAAAATGCATCGGAGGAAATGGAACGACGTAGCTTATACTAAACAATGAGGTGGAATGGGCTTTAGAGACCTCCACCTCTTTAATCTGGCTATGTTAGGCAAACAAGGTTGGAGATTGCTAACTAGACCAGAATCCCTTTGTGCAAGAACACTGTGGAAAGTATTTTCATAATGGCTCTTTCATGAGAGCAAGGAAGAAAACAGGAAGTTCTGATACATGGCGGGCAATTTTAAAAGGAAGAGAAGTTTTAGAAAAAGGCCTCATCAAAAGAGTTGGAGATGGAAATTCAATTAATAAATGGGATGATCATTGGATTCCTAGCAACCCAGGTTTTAAGCCAATTTATCCAAAAGCACGAGCTGAAAAGGTTCATGAGTTCTTATCCCCGGACAGAATGTCTTGGAACATACGAGCTCTTTGGGATAACTTCCTTATTCATGATGAAAATGCAGTAAATAGAATTCCTCTTGGAAGACTTGAGAAAGATACATGGGCTTGGAGTGTAGAAAAGCACGGTATGTATACAGTAAAGTCAGCCTATCGTTTATTGATTTCTAGCTCAAGAATGGCTGTCCTTCTTAAAAATATCATTGCTTGTAGATCAGTAAACGAAAACAATCTAATTTGGCAAAAATTATGGAAACTAAAAATTCCCCCAAAGGTTAAAGTTTTCTGGTGGTGTGTAATCAATAATTTTATTCCTGTCCATGCAAACCTGGCAAAAAAACATATAGATGTCCAAAGTCTTTGCCCATTCTGTGCAGCTGAAGAGGATACAACTTATCATGCTTTAACTCAATGCACTTTGGCCCGAGCTTTTTGGAAATCTTTCAAAAATTTGTATGGCATTAAATTACCACTATTGCATCCAGCTACTTGGAGTCAAGACCTTCTTGATACGACATCCTGTTCGCAGGAGAGATGTGGATCTATATTATGTGCCATGTGGGCATTATGGACGGCAAGAAACAGAAAAAGGCATGGAGAAACTTCAATTTCTACATATCAAGCTTGCAGGTTGGCGTGGGAAATGGCAACTGATCTTAACCATTCTAGCCCACCAGTATACACTTTGAAGATGCAAGAAAAGAAAGTTCACTGGTGCCCTCCTCCTCATGGGGTAATTAAGGTGAATTTTGATGCAGCTTTTAAAACTAAAACTTATCGAGGTGCCTCGGTAGTAGTTTTACTAATGCACAAGGTCAATTTGTAGCAGCCAAATGTAAACAACATGGGTCGATACCTGATGCTCTTACTGCTGAAGCTTATGCTTATCTTGATGCGACGCTAATGATAAAGGATCTTGGACTGTCAAAGGTGATTGTCCAAACGAATTGCCAAGAATTAGTGGCCCTATGGAATTCTAAGACTAGTAATAGGTGTGCTATTATTCCAGTGCTAAATCAAATCCACGAACTTAGTCGACAATGCACACATTTTGTTTTGGTTCATGTAAGGAGGGAAGCAAACATGGCTGCGCATTATACAACCAAGTTTACTTTACTTTCAAATTCTAAATGTATGTGGTTGCATGATGTACCCAACTTTTTATCCCAATTTTTTCAGTAGGACTTTCCTGTTGAGAACTGAAGTAATATAAATAAAGTTTTCTTTGTTCTAAAAAAAGATTCTTAGTTGGGCTAACATGTTTGGCGGCCGAACACGTTTTGGGCCTTGCTCGCTCTAAAGAAACTATTGGGCCTTCTTTACTCTCACACCGACGAGCCAACCCAGTTAAGTCACTTGGATCTGGTGCACATAAGAGGCACGCCAGGAGTTCTTCAAAACTATGGTAAACTCGGAATCTCCTTTCTTCTCGTACGTACGGCTCACGAATTTGGTGGGTTTGAGACAACTTCGTTTGGTTCCTTGTGTTGATCTACGCTAGCCAGAGGAGGCGAGGAGCCAGATCAACCAGTGGATCGCGAGCGCGACGGCCGGCCGGATCAAGGACCTTCTTCGGTTCTTCCCACGGGCTGCCTCCACCGTGGGACGCCGGCGATGCTCACCAACGCATTCTACTTCAAGGACATGTGGGAGCGCAAGTTCGACGCCTGCCTGACGCGGGACGAAGCCTTTTTCCTGCACGACGGTTGCGTCGTCCGTGTGCCGTTCATATCGAGCACCAGCAAGCAGTGCATCGCCTGCCGGCCCGGCTACAAGGTCGTGAGGCTTCGCTACGCGCAACAAGGCCGCGGCGAGCACTGGGTGTTCTCGATGTACATCTACCTTTCGGACGCGCACGACGGCCTGCCGACGCTGCTGCACAAGGTGAGCGCTGCTCGAGAGCTCCAGAACTCTGATGAACGAGGTCCCCGTGCGCGCATTCAGGGTTCCCAGGTTCACCGTCGCGTACAAGATGAACGCGAGGGAGATGCTGCTGGACCTCGGGCTGCTCCTGCCCTTCGATCGCAACGCCGCCGACTTCGGCGACATAGTGGAGGCGCTCGTCGTATCCGATGTCTACCATGAGTCCTTCGTGGAGGTGAACGAGGAAGGGACCGAGGCAGCCTCCGCGACCGCTGTCGCTATGCGCTTCGGGTGCGCGCACCTGTAGGCCCCGGTGGACTTTGTCGTCGACAACCCATTCGTGTTCTTGATCAAGGAGGAACTCAACGGCGTGGTGGTTTTTGCTGGACAAGTGATAGACCCGTCGATTCCTTAGTAATTTTAGATGAGTGATGCTTCTTTGAGTGAATATAATATGGTGATTTTACTTCAAAAAATATATAATATGGTGATAATGATATGAAAGCGGTTAGTATTTATATGCTATATAAATGCCAGGACATTTGCCAGATAATCCACTAAACTTAGCGAGAGCTAAATTGAACCATCATGCAAGTGAGAGTGTGCAAGATAGTGTGCCAAATGTCATCGTCCTTATGTATCCCTTTCATCAGGTTCCATCGTCCATGCCTCTTAACAATAGGAAATCAAAAACCCAATCTCACCATTGCCCAACTCGTTAATGGTGTAGGCGGCAGCAAATCTAAGGTGAAGGATAGGGGAGAAGGACGCCAAGCCGGTATACGGCTTCTCAGCTCCTAATTTTTACTTCTGGGCATTGGATTTAGCATTTTTCGTTTATGTATATTTCGAGTTCCAAATCAGCTCGATTTGCTTAAAAATGTGGCATGACTGTTAGTCTTCTCTTTCCTAAAATGGTTCGAATGAAATGGATACATGTAGCTCTCCGGTGAGGAAGAAGAGCAATAGTGTCTGATTCCTTGGTTCTTAGAACAGAGCTCTCCGGCTCATTTTGTTGATTCATCTGAGAGTATATGTTTTGTTGTTGAATCTATTGAAAATTTCTCGCCCATTCCTTGGTTCTAAACTGGCAATGACGTTAGGAAAATTGACGAATAAGGGTCCTATGAAATTCGTATGTAAAAGACTCTGTTCCAAACACAAGAAAAGACAGTAGAATAAATCATCCTGATCTCTACCAGCAGTAGTGTCATGCCAACCGCCGTCGCCAACAGGAGGGTATCATTATTTCCTACTTCTAATAACTTGGTAAGGTATCGCCGATAATCTGATTGATTTTAATTTCATGCTGCAGGGTCGGAGATGGAGTCCGACTTGAGAAGCCTGGATCCAGAACACGTTTTTGGTTCCCGCCGTTTTATAAATGCACCCGAACCCCTCTCCTCTAGCGCCCACACCGATCCTTTCTCGTTTCTCCTCTCTGCCGCCACACCACGCCACGCCACGCCAATAATACCCTAGCGAGCCCGCCGGCAGGAGCAATAGAGCCACCGTCCATGGCCACGGAGCATGGTCTTCCTCCTGGCTACCGTTTCGTGCCTACTGACGAGGAGGTGGTCGAGCTTTGCCTGCTCCCTCGCATCCAGGACCAGCCCCTCCTGCCGAACGACATCATCGAGGACGATCCGCTGAGCGCGCCGCCGTGGGCTCTCCTCGAGAAGCACGGGCGGAGGCACCAGGCCTTCTTCTTTGCGGCGTGTCAGGCCATGAACGCCAAGGGCAACCGCCAGAAGCGCTCCTGCGTGGGACACGGGACCTGGCAAGGGCAGGGCAAGAGGAAGCGCCAACAGGAAGAAGGGCAGGAGGTCAAGAAGAAGCTGCGCGTGCGCGTGCGCGGCAGCGCCGAGAAGATTGAGATCGAGTGGGACAATTACGCACTCAACTTCCAGGAGCACGGTGTCAAGGGCAGCACGGGCTGGGTCATGCACGAGTACTCCATCACCGCCCCGCCCGAGCTAGCGCGGTCGCCGGTGAGGGTGTACTGCATCCGCTTCAGCGGCCACGGCAAGAACGCCAAGAAGAACAGCAGGGATGCGCAGCATAGGGGCGACGACGACGAGTTCGAGGACGAGGAGGAAGTGGACGACGATGCAGCAGGAGCAATCGCCACCACTACCAGGAGTGCCGCGGAGGAAGACGCTGCCCTGCTCATCGAAGACTACCTCACTTCTTTCCCTGTGGTGGCGGTGGATGTTGTCAGCGCCAATCCTGCTGATGGGGCGGACGCAGGAGCAGGCTATGATCAGGACTTAGCCCGGGTTGGTGGATGACGACAGTTTCGACTTCATGAACTCTTTGCCTGACCTGTTGCCTAGTGTCGACTTCTCCCAATGAGCTGATGGTGCCGGACGACGCATGATCAAACACGCCGTAGATTGATTTAGCTCCTTAACTTGTTGTAGCTCTGAGATAGCGAATTGATGTATCTGTTGAATTTGTGCGTTGGTGGATTCTTCAATTCCTAGGTGGGAACTACTTTTTTATGAAACAGAGTTTCTACTGCCTTGTTAGTACTAGTTTAACCTTCTTGACTTGTCTTAACGACGAAATGATGTCTTATTTGTGATCATTGGTGAGTGTGGACGATTCAAAATCTGCTCATGTCTCTGCTATTGTTTTGTTTTACTATTTTCAGTTCTACTTGTATACGATGAATGATACTGAAAGAACCATGATATATGTTGCAGAAGGTAAGAATTACTATGAAGTTGTAAACTCCTCGGTTGCATTACTAAGCAACTCCAACAAATTAATTATTAATCGCTTAGTCTCCTGTGTTTAAGCATAACGGATTATCGAGCTTCAGCCTTGTCACTCCCAACTCCAACAGTTGACTAATCATCCAGCAGTGCAGACCATTGCAAAGTAAAACTAGCTTGATGACTGAGCACGCACCCAACTAACCCAAAGAGGCCAGGCTTCTTCCAGACCAGGCCTGAACCAAGTAAAAATGATCTATCAATCTAGTCCGGGCAGCGACACCTGGCCCAAAGGGACCACGCTTTTCCCGGGCCAGGCCGTATTCATATATGCCTGCAAGTGAATCGAACCACACATTCACAGGCAGACATTCAACATTGCAAGCAGCCAAGCATGTCGCACATTATTTGCTTTGAAAAATGCCTAAAATAGATGTTCCAGCAAAACTACAGTTGACAATAACAAAATAAGTTGCTTTGCAATTAATCCATTTACACAAGAGAAGCTTTGCCAAAAAGCTTCGGGGATTTAGAGTTCAAAATGACCAAAGTAGCGTGCCTGTTTTCTCTTTATAAATCTTGATACGGTAGAGACGTCGCCTTGAATGATTATCTGGCCATCTTCCATATAGATGGCACCATCTGCGTATTTCAGCTCTTCCAACCGATGAGTCACCCATAACGCGGCAACCTCCCCATCAGCAGCCACAGAGTTCCTCACTGCCTTTATCACGCCTATCTACAGTTGCAGCAAACGGAGATTAGAGTGCAGAACTGTCACTAACGTATATCACAAATTCACAACCAGTAAAATGACTTAGAAACACAAAAGTTTTACCAGAGCATTTGCCATAAAACATTACAGTGCAAGTTAGACAAAACTAATATAAGGCACGATGATAAGCTCCAACGAATGGGAAAGAAATTAACGGAATCATAAAAACCAGAATATGAAAGAGATCTGTACCTGGTCATGTTCATCTAAGAATGTGGTCAGTTCATCCAGCAGTAATACTTTGGATGCTTCAGCTAACGCACCAGCAATTGCAACTCTCTGTTTCTGCCCACCACTCAGAGTTTGGATTGGCCTCTGTTTGAATGAAGGTTTATGAACATTGTGAAGACATTATATTATGATCCAAAAGCTGGATTTTTTATGCCTACCTGAGAGTAGCTCAACATCCCAACAGCATCCAATGATTTTGATACCCTTAACCTGACCTCATCTAATGGAAGTTTGAGCTTACCAAGACCAAATGCTACATCAGATTCCACTGTAGGCATCACAACCTGCATCCAAAGGACAGAACTGAGAAAACTGTTCTTCCATATAAAGACTTGGACACATGGATAATCTGGGGCTACAGTCTTGGCTTGACCGCCAGGTGGAAGCTTTCGTACATGCTAGAACATGTTTGATTCCAATGTGTGTGTTTGAGTTTTCAACATAAATGTATGGTTTGTCAAAAAAAAAAAGGAAGATAACAAAGTTCATGGTTTAGTAGACGGTAAGTTAGATTTGATTCAACTGTGATGCCCCCAACAAAGAAGACTACTAAGGAACACAGAACTAGACGCACAAGTGATGGCACCTTTTCTCTAGCATGGTACAAGAATATTATAATCAGATTGCGTGACTCACCTGAAAACTAAGCTCCGAGTGAATTCAAGTGGATATTGTGTGAATTTGGAGCTCCAGCAGGATATGCATGGAAAAGCTTTTGTGACAAATTGTCCGAGTCTATGACATAGTTCATATATTGAGCCACATGATTAAATGTACAATTGCAAGCATAAATTTATATCGTTTAACCAAAGACATTATTTACTTATCCAATACAAAGTAAAATAGCCAATAGCTGCTCAGAGTTTAATGCATAAGCTGATACAGGTCACAGTGAAACTGAATTCAATAGATGCTATGTGAGTTAATTGTGTTGGCATACTACAGATTCCACTTAAAATCTATTGGGAGACCTGACAACAGACCAGTTAGAAAACTATTAAAGAGAAGTTTTACCACCTGGTGATCAGGATTTTGGAAGACATAGCTGCATGGTCTGTTTATATACACTGTACCAGCCGATGGATTCAGAAAGCCTGCTAAAACCTAGAAAAACATGGTGTTGGTATTTATTTCCAGTGACAGTGACAATAAATGAATAAATAAATTCCCAAAGTTCTGTTACTGAGTAATCAGAAATGAGCACAATGCATGTAGCTAACAACTTTACAAGGGCAAGTAGATAAAACCAACTCACGCTTGTTTCTTCCACATGAATATAACAGTCACTATATTATTATTTATAATTAAGTAACAGAAACTATATTCTGGCCCAAAAAACAATGGGTGCAAACTAACTCTGCCTACTGCCATTTGTTGCTCCAGTGCTCAACCCCTTTTCTTGCTTTGTGATGATGCACCAACACCACAAAAGAGATACAGAATTGACATTCATGACATCTGTACAAAGGTTTATTATATTTTCTTATTGGCTTTTAATGTGGACTTTCTATTGATCCCTGGTAGAAACTGAAAATTTTGTCGAGCAATATGTAGTTGCATCAGTACACTAAATGACACGCACATTCACAAGTCACCAAAACCTTTCCTGAGAATTTTGGGTCCCCCGAAAGTACAAATGCTTGCTTGAACATTTTCATGAAGTTCAACTACCCCTTCTCCCCAAAAATCTGTGCTCGCGACTCACGAGGTTGAGGGGCTGGATCTTGATTCTATCCAGATTGTATCGTATTTTCATTTCCAATCGAAAAATGAACCAAACACTGCCGGACATAATTGACAGTATCTAACTCATCTACCAAGTAAATTGGGCACTACACGCAGCAGGAAACTATTTTCTTCGTTTCAAATTGGAGGCAACAGAGGCATTCCACGTTTTACTGTTGAATGCAGATAACCAATCGCTTAAGGCAAGCACCAGTCTGAGGAATTCAGTTCGGATTTCAATTCTCAGGCCTGCACGAATAAAGTGGGAGCGAAAAACACGAAATGCTGCCTCCTAGTTCAGAGGAGGAACCTTCAGCAGGGTGGACTTGCCGCAGCCGTTGGGGCCGAGGAGCATCCAGAGTTGCCCGGGCGGGACAAGGAGGGAGCATCCCTTAAGCACCGGCAACACCCTGCCCCGCCGCGTGGTCACCGAGAGCACGACGTCGCGGCCCTCGATGGCGGGCGCGGCTGGAGGAGGGAAGGTCGAGGCGCACATCGCTAAGCTTCGACGAGGGGGAGCGTCCAGGGTGTGATGAACGGTGGTGGAGGAGGAGGACACGGAGGGACAGCACCGGAGGGGGCCGACGCCGCCGGCGAGGCCGTGCGACATCTCGGCGAGTGCAGGAGTGCAGGAGTGCAGGACTGAGGAGTTTCTGGGCCGGTGCTCTACATGGATAGGTGTCGGCCATGCTTATAACAAAATGGGCCCGATCTGTCATGGCTTTCGTGCACGGATGGGCCGGGCCAATGATGGCTTTCCTAATTAGTACTAGAAAGACAACAAGTTCCTAAGTGGTGATGTATCACTTGCATCAGTTGTCCTCAACAAATAAGTTGCATGTACTTCACTTGTACATGTACTCCACGGTGGTAGCCCGTAGGAGTACTTCACGTCAATTTGTCATCGTAATCATAACAATAATACTCTATAAGTATAGCTCTATGATACTATACTTCTAAATTTATGATATCAACTAAGTCTAAAGTATTATACTGTAGTGTTTTTTTAAGCATGCCTGATCACCAGTGGCGCCTCCGGCTGTGTCACCCGTGCCCACCCCGCTACTTCAGTCCATGATCCCCTAATTGGAATCCGTGGAAAGGCGCTGGAGCTTCGCCACCGCCGTCAGCCCTACTCACCGGCTATCCTCTGCCGCCTGCTCACCAGTGCGTCCATCATCTCACTCGCTTCCCATAGAACCACCACCGTCGCTTGGTGGACCGCTATCGTCAAGCCCCCTTAAAAGAATCGAGATGTCGTCTAAAAGGAGTGAACATGAGTTCATGGAAAAAAATAAAGCTTATAAAACTATTACAAGACTGGAGATCTGGTTTGGTCCTTAAATGTGGCACCAGATCTACTCTACTCTAGATCGGAGGTCCTGTACTGGGTGACGGGAAGAACACAAGTCTGGAGAGGGATTTCACCTATTTTAATCAATTATTATACTTGTTACCAAGTGTTGTGGAGACGTACGCCCCTCACCATCCCCTATATCGCACAATCTTCGTCCTCTACTAATCGAGTAGTCAACCGTGTGTTGACAATGCACGTGCGTCAATTAATGTTTTTGTACCGCAGACAGTGTACTAGTCACAAGAAAGGATGATCGTCAGTTTCATGTTTTGCGAGGAAAGGAATTGATTGTCAGTTTTAAATCGGCGGCTGGGGTTTCACCATGACTAGGTAGACAGGTATAAAATAAGATAAGACAAAGAAGAGATATGCGCCCCGTTCGCTTGTCTTAAAAATGACTTGTTCGGCTTCTTTTTTCAGCCGGAACAATGTTTTTCTCTCACAACAATTCAGCCGGAACAGTGTTTTTTAGCCAGTTTCAGT